CCAGAGAAGCTGTGGCTGCCCCTGGATCCCTGGGAGTGTCCAAGGCCAGGTTGGATTCCCTGGGATAGTGGGAAGTGTCCCTGAACATGGAATGGGATGAGCTTTAACATCCCTTCCCACCCAAACCAGCCTGGAATTCCAAGATTCCATGGAGCTGGAGGTGCTGCTGGCTGAGATGGCTCCAGGCTGGGGTTGTTTCCCAGCAAACAAATCCTGTGGGAAGCAGCTCCAAGGGATTAAAGGAAAACACTGAGCTCCAGGGAGAGCTTGGAACCCCTTCCAGAGACCAAAGGGGCTCCAGGAGAGCTGGAGAGGGACTGGGGACAAGAGATGCAGGGACAGGACCCAGGGAATGGATCCCACTGGGAAAGGGGAGATTTGGGTGGGAGATTGGGAAGGAATTCCTGGCTGGGAGGTGGGGAGGGACTGGGCTGGAATTCCCAGTGGGAAGAAGGGAGGAGAGGGATAGGGATAGGATAGGAGAAGAGAGGGAGAGGGAGAGGGAAGGGAGAGGACCTTCATGCCCCCTTCTCCTGGCACAGGAGAAAAATAAAAACATATTTTTTATTTCTGTGAAAAAACCCCGTATTTTTTATTTCTATAAAAAACCCATATTTTTATTTCTTGAAAAAAACCCCTGTATTTTTATTTCTATCAAAAAACCCATATTTTTATTTCTATCAAAAAACACGTATTTTTATTTCTATAAAAAACCCGTATTTTTATTTCTTGAAAAAAAACCCCGTATTTTTATTTCTATAAAAAAACCCCGTATTTTTATTTCTATAAAAAACCCCATATTTTTTATTTCTATTAAAAACCCGTATTTTTATTTCTATTAAAAACTCCGTATTTGTTATTTCTATAAAAACCCCGTATTTTTTATTTCTATTAAAAAAAAAGTATTTTTATTTCTATAAAAATTCTGCATTTTTATTTCTATTAAAAAACCCGTATTTTTTATTTCTATAGAAACCCCCTATTTTTATTTCTATAGAAAACCCCTATTTTTATTTCTATCAAAAACTCGTATTTTTATTTCCATAAAAAACCCATATTTTTATTTCTATTTAAAACCCCGTATTTTTTACTTCTATTAAAAACCCCGTACTTTTTTATTTCTATTAAAAAAACCCTGTATTTTTATTTCTATAAAAACCCCGTATTTTTTATTTCTATTAAAAAAAGTATTTTTTATTTCTATAAAAAAAGTATTTTTTATTTCTATAAAAAAACCCGTATTTGTTATTTCTATAAAAAACCCCATATTTTTTATTTCTATAAAAAACCTGGTTTTTTATTTCTATTTAAAAAATCCGTATTTTTTATTTCTATTAAAAACCCCATATTTTTTATTTCTATAAAAAAAGTATTTTTTTATTTCTACAAAAAAACCCGTATTTTCATTTCTATCAAAAACCCCCTATTTTTTATTTCTATTAAAAAACCCGTATTTTTTATTTCTAAAAAAAACCCCATATTTGTTATTTCTATCAAAACCCCATATTTTTTATTTCTATTGAAAAAACTGTATTTTTATTTCTATTAAAAAAACCCCATATTTTTTATTTCTATTAAAAAAACCACGTATTTTTATTTTTATTAAAAAACCCCATATTTGTTATTTCAGTTAAAAACCCCATATTTTTATTTCTATTTAAAAAACCCGTATTTTTAATTTCTATAAAAAACCTCCATATTTTCATTTCTATAAAAAACCCACGTATTTTTATTTCTATAAAAAACCCGTATTTTTATTTCTATAAAAAACCCCGTATTTTTTATTTCTATTAAAAAAACCCGTATTTTTTTTCTATAAAAAACCCCGTATTTTTTATTTCTATAAAAAAACCCCGTATTTTTATTTCTATAAAAAACCCCATATTTTTTATTTCTATTAAAAACCTGTATTTTTATTTCTATTAAAAACTCTGTATTTGTTATTTCTATAAAAAACCCGTATTTTTTATTTCTATTAAAAAAACCCGTATTTTTTATTTCTATTAAAAAACCCGTATTTTTTATTTCTAAAAAAACCCCCATATTTGTTATTTCTATCAAAACCCCATATTTTTTATTTCTATTGAAAAAACTGTATTTTTATTTCTATTAAAAAAACCCCATATTTTTTATTTCTATTAAAAAAACCACGTATTTTTATTTCTATTAAAAAAACCCATATTTGTTATTTCAGTTAAAAACCCCATATTTTTATTTCTATTTAAAAAACCCGTATTTTTAATTTCTATAAAAAACCTCCATATTTTCATTTCTATAAAAAAACCACGTATTTTTATTTCTATTAAAAAACCCGTATTTTTTATTTCTATCAAAAACCCGTATTTTTTTATTTCTATTAAAAAACCCGTATTTTTTTTTCTATTAAAAAACCCATATTTGTTATTTCTATAAAAAACCCTGTATTTTTTATTTCTATTAAAAAAAACGTATTTTTATTTCTATCAAAGACACGTATTTTTTTATTTCTATAAAAAACCCATATTTTTCATTTCTATAAAAAAAGTATTTTTTTATTTCTACAAAAAACCCCATATTTTTATTTGTATCAAAACCCCCTATTTTTTATTTCTATTAAAAACCCTCTATTTTTTATTTCTATTAAAAAACCCGTATTTTTTATTTCTATAAAAAAACCCCATGTTTGTTATTTCTATCAAATCCCGTATTTTTTATTTCTATTATAAAAAACCCGCGATTTTATTTCTATTAAAAAAACCCATATTTGTTATTTCTATTAAAAAAACGTATTTTTTATTTCTATAAAAAAACCCGTATTTTTTATTTCTATTGAAAAAAACATATTTTTATTTCTATAAAAAAACCATATTTTTATTTCTCGTACTCCTCTTCCCCCCATCCCGGTGCTGTTTCCCGGTGCCGTGTCCCCACTCCCTGTATCCCGGTGCCTGTCCCGCCTCCCTGTATCCCGTTTTTTCCGCAGGAGGGGCTGTCCCAGCAGGCTCGGGCGCTGCGGCAGCAGGTGAAGCGGAACACGCTGCGGGAGAAGCTGAAGCTGGCGCAGAACTTCCTGCAGAAGCTGCGATTCCTGGCCGACGAGGTGGGTCCCAGATCCCAAAAAAAATCCCATGGATAAAGAACCGACTTTGGGATCTTTGGGGCAGCGAAGGGGTTTGTTGCCGATGCCGAGTTTGCACCACAGAGAACTTTGCTCGAAGGGTTCTCACAAAATCAGGGGTTTTATACGATCTTCATATAGGATTAAATGCATATTTAATAATGCATAATTAATAATTCACAATACATCACTATTAATACATATTTAATAATATATAACACATAATAAATACATAATTAATAATGCATAATTAATAACACAAAATACATAATACGTAATTACAATACATATTTAATACATGATACATAATTAACAATACATATTTAATACATGATACATAATTAACAATACATATTTAATAACACATAATTAATAATACATATTTAATGAGACATAATTAATAATACATAATACACCATCAATGATACATATTTAATAACACATAATAACACCTAAAACATAATTAATAATACATATTTAATAATACATAATAATATGTATTTAATAATACATAGCACATATGTAATAATACATAATTAATAATACATCATTAATAATACATAATTAACAATACATAATTAATAGTACACAATGCATCATTAATAATACATATTTAATAATACATACTTGATAATACATATTTAATGATATATAATTAATAGCATATTACATATTTAGTAATACATACTTAATAATACCTAATACATCATTAATAATACCTATTTAATAACACACAATACATATTTAATAATACATAATAATACATATTTCATAATACATTTCATAATACATAATATACAATTATTAATACATAATTAATAATACATAATACATCATTAATAATACCTATTTAACAATACATAACACATCATTAATAATACATAATTAACAATACATCATTAATAGTATGCAATGCATCATTAATAATAAATAATTGATAATACATATTTAATTTTATATAATTAATATCATATTACATATTTAATAATACATACTTAATAATACATAATCCATCATTAATAACATCAATTTAATAACACACAATACATAATACATAATAATACCTATTTCATAATACATAATACATATTTAATAATACATAATTAATAATACATAATACATCATTAATAACTATTGAACAATACATAATACATAACATATCATTAATACCTATTTAACAATACATAATGCATAATCTATGACCTATTTCTCCTATTCCCTGTCACCTTCCCTGTCACCTTCCCTGTCACCCTTCCCTGAGCCCTTCCCTGTCACCTTCCCTGTGTCCCTTCCCTGCCACCCTTCCCTGTCACCATCCCTGTCACCTTCCCTGTCACCTTCCCTGTCACCCTTCCCTGTCACCCTTCCCTGTCACCCTTCCCTGTCACCCTTCCCTGTCACCCTTCCCTGTCACCCTTCCCTGTCACCCTTCCCTGTCACCCTTCCCTGT